GCGGAAACGACGCTACGATGGAGAACATTGACCTGTGGTAAATCACGCGATAAATGTCAAATTGCTAGACGGTAAAGGACGCGCGGCTACAGTCGAGTGTGTTACGAAGGAGTCGACATTTTGTACCACGCACTCTTCCTCAACGTCATCGCCGACGGAGAAAATGGATATGCGCGGGTTACTGCCGAAGCGGAGTACTTTCTTGAGGAACATTCTCGACCACGATGAATCGCGGGATAAGATGGGCGAGGGTATAATGGAGGATATCCGGATAGTGAGATACGAGGGATAGACTACGAGGGTAGACTTCCCTTCTTTGAGAATGCAGATGGAGTGAATGAGAGACCGGCAGAATGGGGAATTACCGGAAATGAAAAGATTCGAGTGACGAATTCCTTCGTAGATGTATTGAAACATTAAATTTTTATCTCTAAATTTCTACCTCCGAGCTTTACTTTTCCTACTTGTAAGACTTTTCGAACGATTTTACTGCTACGAGGCGTTGTACAAGATCCATCAGTGAAATGGCCGGATTCAAGAGCTCGTCCCCTCGAATACGATGCTATGAAGCTTTCTACATTCGGTTTTCAGCTCGATTTTTGTGCATAATTTGTTCTATGTCGAGTCAGGAAAATACATTTCAAAAGCATCCTCCTATGTGCAAGCCGAATGAAATGTATCGCGGTGAAATGCGACTGATAATCAAAAACAGATAGGACAGATTGGGTGGCGCGGATGGAATCGATATCATGAAATGATGACGTAAAATAAATTAAGTGTTTTAATGCTTTCACATGAATATATGGAATATCCATTTACGAAACTAATATAACGTAAAGGTATAATATTATTATTTAGTGACAGTTGCAATTTCTTATTAAACTCGATATTCTACTAAATGAAATTGGATTGTGCAACATGTATGTCATATTCGTTCATTCAATTAGCTTTATAGTTTAAATTTGTCTAAGATGTCAGATTCAAATTCACATTGTTATTGGCAGCATCACATATAGAAATTGTTCGTGACTAACGTCAATCATTCTTAAAATGATAACATCAATACTTGGTTAAATAAAGTAACAGATACAATGATTGAGCGATGCACAGCAATTGACTAATACACTTTCGCTTCTCAATGCATCAAAATCGACATATCGATTATAATTGTTTTCAAACTAAATCTCGATAGTGTTTTCCCTTGTTAAACTATAATCAATAGCAAACTCGCTGTCTTCTCAAGCTTGCAAGACCGAAAATCGATTTTTATCCATTAAACTACGAGAGAGAGAGAGAGAGAGAGAGAGAGAGAGAGAGAGAGAAAGAGAGCAGTTAGTAACTTACAAAATTAAATTTAAAAAAAATTATTTCTAAATATGCATATCAATTTATAATAAATATCAAGTTAAAGAATAAAAATAACTAATTTAATAACAAACTGTACATTTAATAAAATATGTCAGCATTTTGGATAATTCAAGCTTATAAAATATACATGATATAAATTATTTATTAAATTTAAATTCCATTTAAAAGAAAAACCGTTTATGAATATTTTTATTTCAAGTGATAGTTTATGCTTTTACCATTTCCATTTTGTCAATTAAGAATATTTAATTGACAAAATTAAATTTAACATAAAAAATATCTATAATATTCTACTAGTAATGGTTATAAGAAATTCAATAAATATGAATTTTCAGAACTAAATGATAATTATCTTCAATATTTCAAGAGAAGAGAGAGAGGTAATTTCACCTCCAGTTCTTTTCGATCTTGTGAATAATACCATCGCTATACAGCTTTAAGTTTCTGAGGTTGTGACGCGTATGGAGTGTGGCTGTGTAGTGGTTGGCTTGATTCCCGCACAGAGCGGATATAGGTGAGGGAACTTTCCTCATTACAAGAATACTTTTAAAACGGTTCGGCTGATAAACGAATGAACTTTCGGTGTTCCTTATCGGCAATCCCGATGTTTGCTATCGAGCAAGAGTTGAAAGTGATCGCAGAAGTGCAGCTGCGACGGTGGGACGGTGGCTCTTAATTTCCCCCCTATCGTCGCGGCTTTATTGCCGAATGGAAATATTCTTATCATTACGAAAAGGTACCTTTTTTCCTTTATCGAGCAGTTTTATTCGCGACAAAGATTTTCAAGAAAACATTATTTCATTACGATTTGGTAGACGTTTCAGTCTCTTCAATATCACACGTTTACGTTCAGCTTAGCTTCTACGTTCGTTCCATGCTATTCATTTCCGCAAGATATCTGGTATGTGACGACACAAGTTACTGATCGCGGATGGCAATTCCCAACCGACAGATAAAGAATGTGTCGGCATGGGTCGCTTGGCATCCTGTAACCGGGGTATTTCCCAATTAAGCTCCCACGCGCCCCCACGACGGTATCAGCTTGACTTGTGTGCCGCGTGTGTGCACTTTCCGCGCGGATAGATGCCATTTACTTGCCGCTGTACAAAGTCTTTCCCGCCTAGGCCAGCAGCAATCCCCATACGATCTCGGCTTAATAGCTTCCCACGGGAATTTCGTGGCCATCGGTTACCTAACCCACGTCTAACAAGACTGATGATGATGATTGAGTCAGGCAAGACAACGTAAGAGGAAATTAAGTACGGAGGGGCCCCGAAACGCGTCGGACATGCTACTCCAATTTGCATTTCGTTCCAAGTTTTAATTGGTTTTAATCCTTTGGCGGACTACGCTTGCTTCTCCATTCGCTTCATACGAACTTTTAACCCTTTTCGCTAGAAAGCCAAATAGGCCGCGTGCATAGACTTCAACAGTTTTCCCCTTAAAATAGATATACCTTTTGTATCTTCTCGTACATTTGAGCTGAAAATAATTAGAAGGAGTATTACCGCAAGCGATTTGTCGGATAATTTAGATGTCGGGAATCTAAATCAAGTTACATACCTTCCACACGTAATATATATTGTAACATGCATTAATTTCATGCTTGAAAGCTTCATTGCGACTTGGTTGCTTGCTCTTAATGGACATAGAAGCTTCCTTAATTGGCTACGCAAGTATCTTGAGCAATGAAGTCCACATATTCGGCAATAAGACAGGAACATTGTTCGTTCTAGCAATGCACGCGCGCGCGCGTGTGTGTGTGTGTGTGTGTGTGTGTGAGAGACCGTCTCTGGAGTTAGTTGAAAGATGGACGTCGGAGGGATTCGAGATCTTTGTCCTTCCGAAGACACCACAAGCGAAGACACAAGTTCTCGTAACTTCGCACCGATTGAGGCAAACTCTACTACTCAATAACTTCTACCAGTCAAAGACCAGCGACGTGCAAGTACACATACTTAAACATACACACACATACACACAGACACATATAAACACGCACGCTCTTGCCATATTGGATTCGCCATTACACGTCGGCGCGCCGTAGATAGGTCCTTTTCGGGGTAGGATTCAGGATTACAGTAAGCACTGCGGATTACCAGGTTTGGCGGATACCAGAAATGTCATATCCTTGGGAATTGGTTTCTCCGGGATGTATTACGTGAAATCGGCCTAATTATGTTTCTGACTGAGAGTACTAAGACATTTACGGTGAAGTTCGTCTCAGGGATCCGAATGTAAAAAATAATTGGATTGGCAAACGTGACGTCTCTGATCTGCCGAATCGAAATTCAGGAGGAAGCTTCGTAAACGAGGAATTTACTAATCGAGAATAATTAAATTTCATCGAGGGATATCAATTAATATATATCGTGTCATTATGTTTAGGAAACGTAATTACTTATGTACATCTCTTCAAATCTCTTATAAAGGTGGTGCTTCGAGCTTAGATTCAGAACCTTATGTTTTGTGACATAAGGTCTTATAGTACAGCCTACGTACTATAAGATAGCATTCTATATTTGATAAGCATAAAATAAAAATAAAAATAAAACAAAAATTTATTATTGAAAATATTTAGAAAAAAATTTTCTTAAAGCTTAAGAACACGTATTAATGTAAATGTAAAAACACCTTAATAATAATAAATAATATTCACAAATCTATTCTCTTTTATCTTTCAATGACTTAATACATTCAAATTTGTACATAATCGATTAAATCGATTTTCTTTGGATGTACAAAAGTGGCGGGGAATGGCTAATACTATTATATAATTAAAATGCGATGTAGCCGATATATTAAGTATAGTTTTGTTGTCAGTTCCCTGGAGAACGAAAATTACCTTGAAATTAGGGTGCTCTAATGGCCATGATAATTGATATTCGATGCGTGTCGAGGCTATTCTCCCTCCCTCCCTCCCTCCACCTCCCTCCCCCTCCCCCCTCTCTCTCACATTTCCTCATATGATATATGTAGTGTCCCATATATATTGTTACTATAAATAATCTAACTGCTTTCAACCACTATAATCCATAGATAGCTTTCATTATCCAACAACTGTCTTTGCGTCCTATAGCCAGATAACCATAACCGTAATTGTCTTTTCAATATAATAGATCAGATACTATAATATTTATAAAATTTTAGATAAAGTTTATTCCTTTCTATTTAAAAATCTTTCATCTATATAAAAAAAGAAATACACGATTTTAATCAATAATATATAATATTATTCAAGCAATTTTCATTTATTTCGATAAAGTTACTACTTATTTACTACTACTCATAAATATACTTTTATAATATATAAATTAAAAATGTATTATTAAGAAATATAAAAATATAACAAATAGGTATAATTAAAATGTTTTAATTGGTTATATTCATGTAAAACAATTATACTCTATTACAATTGCATATTGCAATGTTACAATTTTATGCAGTTCTATATTTAATTATCATGCTAATAATAATATAATTTTTCTTTTAATAGTCATTTATTAATTATTAGTAATTACAAAGAAAAATTAATAAAAAGATTGCTACACTTTTTATAGCTCTGAAACTACAATACAATTTTATATTATATGTATATATTAATTATTTTTGTTTTTTTTTCTGTGTCATAGGTTACGTGGGTGAGGAGAAGGGACAGACTATTATTAACAGTTGGTACCAGTACGCATTCCATTGACACAAGATTTCAAGTCAATCTCGTTAGAAACGATTGGCAACTTCGCATACGCCCTGTGATGATGGACGATGCCGGTATCTATGAATGTCAGGTATTTTGGCAAATATTTTATTCTTCTATGATGCTTTTAATTTTTAGTATATTTGAATATGATATTATTAGGATACTTATCCTAATAATTTTTATTTAGGATACTTCTTATTCGAGCTTTTATATTTCAATATTCTGATATTAGATAACTGATATACTTTATTTATTCGCATAAATGTATATTTCTCTTCTTGATTTTTTATACAATATATATAAATGTGACTTTTCTTTATTTAGTTCATATGTCAAGTTTCTGTAACAATAAGAACACTATCATATATTGTCATTATAATAAAAATTTAAAATATGATTAAGATTTTACTCAATGTTGATCAATGTTTACTCAATGACCAATTTTTATTTTAATCTATATAAATTAAATTTTCAATGAAGTGAAACAGTACTGTCATTGTTCCTGATAGATTAAATAATTTCTAATGTATAGTTCTGTGACTTCGTTAAAGGTTTCACATGTCTAAAATGTCAGCTGAAATGCGAAAGCGATCGATTACAAGCTTGTGTTTTAGGTCGCAGATATTAGTCATGACTTTAACAAGTTCTTTAAAGGACAATCAATATTGCTTCGATGATATGAATACAATTTCTAATATACATTATAATGCGCGACTTGTTATAATTTGAAACTGGCTATTGTTGCGATGTTATTTATAGAAAATGTTTAAAATTACAGTCTCAATTTCTTAATATCATTTCACATGATATTATGTTATAAATTATATAAGAATGTTTATTATTATATTGTATCGCCTAATAAATGTATATTTTATTATAAATTTGTACTTTATCATTTTTTAAATAATCTAAAAAGTAGATTATTTATATTAAGGAAAGTGACTGTTCTTTTTTACATCAACAAATAAAATTATAAAGTTGACAATTGGAAAGTTGCAAAATTTAAATATCTATCAATTTCTAAAAAATTGATTTTATCTTACAAAATTTATTTTTACAAATTTATAAATTTTTTATGTATATTAGCAGGCTATGCGAATAAAACTGGCAAGTTTCCTTCATAATATAATAATTATTAATTTATTTTATAATGTTCGCTCTTTACAAAATAATGGCTACTTACTTTCAGCAACTTCTCTTGATTGCTACTCTGTACAAGTGTTCCAAGTGTTCTTTCGAAATACGTGTCGTTTGTCTTAATGTACAATGAAAAGTTACAGGTATTGCTATATTACGATTGCAGGTGACGTCGCATCCGGTACAGCAAAACTTCGCTCGTCTCAAGATTACAGAGGCGTACTCGATAATACCAGGTGCGCCTGATCTGCACGTGAAGCAAGGCTCGAGCCTCCGTTTGGAATGCCAACTTATGGCAGCCACGGAAAATCCCTTGTACGTCTTCTGGTATCGTCAGGGCCGTATGATAAATTATGACGAGGAGCCCGGTGTTGACGTCAGACTCACCGAGAACGGCTCTATTCTGACGGTAAACAAAACGAAGCTTACGCATGACGGTAACTATACGTGCGCACCTAGCAACGCCAAGTCGGCGTCCATTATGGTCCATGTGATCGAAGGTAAGAAACACGAAGCGTATCGCTAATATTTAGTTTTTCTGGTAAACTTGATATCAGTTGAGAGAAACTTCCAAGTGTGAATTTACTTTAGCGAAATACAACTTTACGTCTATTTGTATCGATGGAATATATTTTAAATATTGCATTTAAAATTTTTATATTTAGTGAAAAAGATATGCGTGGGGAGTATCATTGTATCTATTTAATTGTTTATTTAGTGGAACAGATATATTCTTTTCTGTCTTTCGACTAGAGAAAATGTATGTTTTAATAAAAGATAAAATAAACTGATTCTCTGATAGATGGAAATTTTTCTTGTATCAAATACGGACTAAAAGATAGAAGATTGATTGTAAACTTATTTTTAAGTACAAGTGTGTATAGATGTTTTTTTATGTTTTTAATGTAAAATAAAATACTATTTGCTTACTACAGGTAGACAAGTAGTTAACAAACAGTTGCAATAGAATTGTGGAAAGTTTGTGTTAACGTATTGGACGACGATATTTACGAACGGTGTATTTGTAGAATATGTGCAGAATATATAAAAAAATATCAAATGATTCTCACAAATGTATCATAGCATTTCATCGTAAGATTGTCTCTAGAAAATAAAATGTTCAACAAAGCAAATATGGAATAATTTATCAAATAATCCATTTAATTTCGAGAATGATGCAGATGCAAAAGGAAATAATATGTGCATTTTGTATTTAGGTAATATAAATGTTGCGCAATTTAAGCACACGTTGATATACACGTGCATGCCATCAAGGAGATCATTGATATTCCTTGGATATTAAGCTTCATTAGCTTTCCTCTGTATTCACTATTATACGCGATATTAAATCACTGATTGCAATCGATGCAATTGCTAAAGATCCGATGCAAGCGCACGGCTTCTGCCCACGGTACAAACGGTCTGCGGATTGCATAAGTAGGCTGAATTCACAGTTTCACGGGTTAAAACGGGTGGTAATTGACTCGCTTCAGTTATATCGACGAAGAAGAGATCGGCTGCCGATCGGGAAGAACTTCTGCGAAGCTTGAATATTCATTAGAGTAAGTGCCGAACAATTAAACGGCTCGTAGGTAGCTCGTTACGATCAGATTTAGCGGCACTCGCAAACGCATTCATCCCGCAGTCCCTGCGCATACTCGCGATAACAGAAGGGCGCTTCAAATTGCACGACCTTCCCTCTAACGATGAAACTTTTACAAAATCCCTGAGTTTTGCGCCGCGAGAACGAAGTTCGAAAGCAATTTTTTGAAAGTACAATATACAACTTCGGGCCGGCTTTACTTACACTTTAACGCGCGTTTAGTAACAACACGATAGCGTCCCGTGGAGCATTATCAAACTTATCTATTATTTTCTCCTTAGAAGACGATACACCATTCTACGCGATTCTATTTTAATCTCTTCTTTTTTCAAGCCCGTGCTTTCGACATGCTTTCGACATTGTCAAAAGTTTCTCCAAGATGTTAATGCGGACTGTATTAAGCCTCTTTTTTTATATTAAATTTTTTTTCTTTATCTAAGCACGCTTATTTTTATAAAAAAAAATAAGAGAAGAGTAATGTTAGGTCGGATAAAAGTACACAGCAACTAAAATCTGGAAGTTTTGTATGCTAGATAAAATTGCGCCATTCGGATTTATTTTCGAAAAAATATAATAAGAATTAAGAATATAATAAAATTTATTTTCATCTCAATAATGAAAATGCATATCTTAATATATATTATCATATACTTCAGCTTTAAATTTTATGTTTTTATAATTAATGTGGACTTGTTAGAAATTGTACAATAAAAAATTCATTTAAATATGCAAAAAAGCATTGAGATTATTTCAAATTATAAAATATTTAAAACGTTTATAAAATATTGTTAAAACAACATTGTTACAACATATTATATTCATCAATTTGTTAGAAACATGGAAAATTACAAAAAAATAGATACAATTTATTGAAGCTTTTTAGAATTAAAATTGTAAAGAATAGCTTTTAAATGGGGTTTTACAATGGCGAAAAAGAGAGGACTCGGAAAACTCGAGAAGTTCGACAGATATTCATCCACTGTTTGCCAGAGCACGTGATAGAGAGTGTCATGCACGTGACCAGATTGTCGAGAGGTATTTTCTACAAGAAGAAGTGTGAAATGATCCGCGTTTCATCTTATATCTCAACTAGGAACATCGGACAATTCGAGATCGTTTAAAATGTTTCTCTCGGGGAAAAGTTTTACCGTTTTGTTTAAGAGAAACATTTTCTCTCATTTCTCTAAATGTGAATTTCTCCTCTGATTTAAACATGTATATTTTTACCCTAAATTTTATTATCAACATTAGACAAAGATAGACGATGGTAACGGATATTATTTATTATATTATTTATTCGCCTTTAGAATCTGATTCATTAGATTTTTATTTATAGGACATTATTTATAGAGTTTATGTTTATATTTATTATGAAGTTTATGAAATAATTTTTAAAGAAGTCTGTTATTCAAGTTACAAATAATTATTGCCAAAAGGATAATCATTTTTTTGTAAGAAATACTTAATATTCTTTTGGCATACGTACTTATTAAAAATATATCGAGGTCATATATAACTGCTATTTGAAAACAAAACAAATAGTTACTATTCTTAATGAATATTTTACAACTTCTCAGTATACATTCTTTAATAAATCAATCCCGAGAAGGATATGAAAACCACCTTTGAATCACAATTTATTTTGCAAGTAAATAGTAATGTGACTCTGTCTCAAGCGTCTCAAAATATATAATCCCTAATTCCTAAGTAGTAATCTGAAATGAAGCAGTCTCCTTAAATTTCTATTCACGCTTCCGCTTATGTCATATGAAACAGCTTTCTAATCTCGTTGCAGAGGAGGAGAAGCCAGCGGCGATGCACGGGGGTGACAGAAGGAACCTCAGCCCGGCAATTTTGGCGAGCAACTTTCTCGTGTCCCTCCTGGCGGCCGTCAGCTGGAGGATACCGAGTTTCACGAGCCTTTACCCGACGTGAATTACCGCCGCCCTGGCGGCGTTCTTCAGCCCGTCCGTTCCTCCGTGACCTGACGACGGGCCCAGCGAGAAAACGAGTTCTCGAAGTCGTTGTCCTGCTGCCTGGGATTGGCACGAGCCTCGCTTATTTTCGATCCAAGAAGAAACTCCGATAGCGGGGTTGATTGTGCATGTGATACCGCAAACTTACGACGATATCTCGGCTTTCGTGTGTCCTTGTTGCGTATACTAGATAGACTGTGTTCCGGGTTGACAGTTGTGGTACGTGTGCTCGGTGTGCTCGGTGATGTCCTACAGCTCAAAGATTGAGAATCGTCGGTGAGTGCGTTTCTTCCGGTACAGTGCAGATCTGTGAATCCTTCACTCTTCAAAGTTTGCGTTTTACTTTCTACCTTCTTGGCCCGTTTTTGCGCAAGTGCCGCGTAAACGTACTTGGCCGGACGACTGTATTCCACTTTGGAATTGAGCAATTTATTGTAGGATACGTTTTATTCTTAAACTCTCGCATAATCTTTGCGTTTCGTTGCGCGCGAAGTTACAGTCCACAAGCCCTCCTTTTCAATCCAACTCTCTTGACAAAGACGAGGAATGAAATTTCAATGTGTAAATACGAGCGCAATTTCTCTTGTTGTACTAAGAGATCTTTTTGTGATGAAAAATCGTACAAAATAATGATATTTAAAAAAAAAATACTCAAAAGTGTGAAAAATTAATCTTTTGGCTAATTATAAGTACTTATCTATTCTGAAAATAATAGCAAATTATATCTCATTTTATGATATCCAGTCATGTTAAATTCCATGTAATATTTCTTTTATTCTAATTATTTTTTTTTAATATTCTTTTATTGTTTAAGCTACAATTATAATTTTTGCTCTCGCGACAAAATTATGTATCGGATGTAACCGCGTGAATCGCAATGAGACCAGAGAATTATGGAACTATGGTACTAAGGTATGTTGTAAGGTGTATGATATTGATGAATGAGTCGCGTAAGCGGAAAGGGAGTTCCGAATTGTTTGAACAGGAAGTTCGGTTTCTCTCAGAAAATTCGTTTCCCGATGGGAACCCTTCCACTCGATATGCGGCTCGTTGATATCTTTCAGTGTGCGCGATCGGCGAGTCGTTTTCTTCGTACATGCATTCTACATATATATATATCTATACGCGTATATATTCGTTATGTACAGACAAATGTACACGGCGAGAGCTCGATTTATCGTTCTTCCAATTAATCGTAGCATTATTCACATTTTCGAACTCCAAAGTGATTTGTATTGCTTATCGTTTACCGAATTCATTTCATCGCATGTTTTCGTTCGAAATATTTCCCCCTCGATAACGTTTGATCGAGCTTTCACCGTACATACGATACGTTATTGCATAACGTAGAGGTTGCTGCGAAAATTCTGTTTGTTATGACCAGTATTCGCGGCATGGCCATAATAATGACAAATCACGTTCTCCGATTGAATCACTGTAGTCCGCCTGTATGCTAACCATACAACCTTTTTACGAAGTAAAATTTGACAAACAATAAATCCATCTGAAACGCATAATACGCAGGTAAGCTCAGATTTGAATAAAAAAAAAAAAAATATTGTACCGATCGGGGTGTATCGCACAACGACAAAAATATATTTCCAACACGCAACGGCTGTAAATTCCGCATTCATCTTATTTTTTTCCTCGATAGTAGGGAGAAATAAATCTTCTTTCGGGCTGGTGTGGATACGTTGTTTCGAAATCGAATCGCAAGACAAGCAGAGATAAGACAAGCAGATTTCTCGCGACAACTTGATTACGCGGACCTGAGGTGAACGAACGACGTTTTCCTTCCGCGCTGTAGAAGCCTTATTTCAATTCCCATCGACTGTCGCAATGCCATTGTCATCGCGAAAGAAGTTCTTTTTCCACGCCTCGCGATTCTCCAGGTGGATATACACCGAAGCAGTCTCGCTGTTTGTTCGCGCGGTGTATATCTATCTTTAAATAAATGATAAATGCAAACATCCGTTCAAGTGAATGAATGTCCGATGTGAACACACAAAGAAGAAACGAGGAGATGGCAGTGTGCGAAGCGGTGCGAGCGTTTGCTCTCTGCTCCGTTCTTCCCTCGTTCTTTCTCGTGTATACCCAACTTTCATACGTCCTCAAGATTGATGAATAATCCAGCCTCGGACGGCGCGCATCACGCGAGCGATGCGAACGATTGGATCTTTCGAGACACAAAATACACTCCTTCTTCGATTATGTTAAGGAAATCGAGACTTATACGATATTCTATTGATGATACGAACTGTTCTGAGATACGAATAGAGTTTCCGTTCTTCGTTTCGTTAAAATAGCGAAGATAACATAAAATGAAAAAAAAAAAAGAGAAAAAAAACAGGAAAACTCAGAAAACAGCTACAGGTTCTTTAAAGAACGTTTAAAAGATGCCTTTATGTCCCTTAGACATTTTTCCTCCGGATGTTGGGCATCTAGAGTTGGAAGTGCAAAATAATGGAAATAAAGAAAGTAGTGACGAAGGAGTGTACTTCGGAAGGAGTCTTGTGTTTTCTGCGATAGCTGTCGGTGTTCCGCGAATGTATCGCGGAAGCTCGATGCGCTGATTTCGCGGCTTTTCTGCGGTGAGAAACGCGTTGGGCGTTTCATGGTCTTTAACCATACATCGAGTTTTATGCGCAGCACGCACGGCACGTGACGATGTGGCCGCGGATGACTCGCGTTCATCAACGTTATTTATCTGAATACGTGGAATCAATGTAAATACTAAACATTCTAACTACGCATTCAATAAAACATTAATCGTGACTATGAGTACAATAAAATTATTTCCTTCATCCAAGGCATCTTCTAATTATTTTGAATCATTTAATAAAATATAAAAATTTCATTTCAGAAAAGCACAACACAAATCCTCTTTGATAAATTTTTTATCTATAATAATTTTTTTAAGTGTAAATGTGTCGTAGTATTAGAATTTTAACAATATTGAAGATAAATGCTTTCCATGCAATATTATTTCTAAATATTTACGCGCATGCACAGTTTTGAAATACTTTCTTAAATATTGTTTATAACATTTCCGAGGAATATTTTGATAATTCCTGTACAGAACTGTTATTTTGCAATATTATTTTTACGAATGTAAATAAAAAGATGTATACACAGACTATACAAGTATGCATAAAATGTATAATCAGTTCATTAAATTTGAGTTTTATATTACATATGTGTATTTTCAGTAAATATTTCTTTCAACGAGAGAATCGATGAATAATTACTCTTATAAAATCAAGGATAGCTTATCAGAATATAATTTGCATAATACTTGTTGACTTCTTGACGAAAGCTTCGTAAGCTTTTAAGGTAAGAAGAAATCGTATTTTCACTGCATGCGACTAAACGTTTTTACAGACTACTTAGCATTTCACCCTACAGAAAATAGAATCTCAATGACGGAGAATTATTTCTCACGACTCACATGCAACCTATTACAATCTATTACGACTTATTTTGCGTGAACACGTATGTTCGCGTGTTTATTCTCTTTAATCATTTATACCATGGCATCTATGCAAATATTACCGGTCTCTACCGTGTCTAACTTAAAGTTCCTATCCTCATAAATTTCAACATTTTTATCATTTTTTTTTATTTGTTACTTTTATAAATTTCAATTTACATAAATACAAATAATAGGTTGATTATCATAATTACGACTGACTTCTGAGGGTAAGAATAAAAGTACGTTTGCATGCTTTTAAACATATAAATACATTTTAGTAAGTTTAAACTAGGTTCTTGTTTAATGAAACCGAGAACTTTGTAAATTAGTATTATATAGACGATAAATGTAAAATATTTTAAAGAGAAATTCTATGTTTTTTTTTATTTTCATGTATTCTTCTAAATCATTTTGTATATAATAATAATACAAATAACTACAATTGCTTTACGATATCGCATTCTACAAAATATGATATTTAAGATAAAATAATTGCGTAAGCAATATAAAATATTTGCTATGTGCATTCAGTAATCACGTTGAATGTGAAAACGGAAACAAACAACGGGGAACACAACGAGGAATGGAGCGATCGCAGTGACTCTTTTGTTGCACCGATAAACCACACATCTACTGAAAGCACCTGGGATCTTCGATATAACAAACGCAAATCCTATCCCGAGCTTGGTTCCGATTTACACCTGACGTAAAAAGGAATCCGCTTAATCGCGCACTGAACTCGACAGGATAGAAAGAACAGGACAAAGTTAAGATAAAAGTTAAACAGGCTTTGACTCACAAGCCCTTGATAGCAGATAAAAAAAGTGGTAGATATGTGATAGAGATATCAAATTCCATTATCATTAAAGACGGAAATATACATGACGAGTCAGCCGCTTTCCATTAATATAATAAGAAGTCAAATAGATGACATGGGCAGATATAATAATGAAATTCCGTAGTGGAGAGAAATAACGAATATAGAGAAAATGTTTCGATTACGTGAATGTCAGTTAAAATGACTCAAGTCTCGGCTGGCAATTAACGTAATAGAAATTAAAGGAACACGATAATAAGCTCGGCATATAATATAATCAGCGCGTAAATAAATTTCTATTATAAAACTGACTTTTTTATCTTCTCATAATTTCCTCCAATCTTGTTGAAATGTATTTTTTGCTATTAATTAAATATTATTACAGATTATATTTCTGTGCAATTGTACCTTAAAATTTATCATAATTTATCATAAATAAGATATAATTTGTGGGTTTAAAAAAATATAAAGTTAGATTAAAATAGTAAAAGTGAGAATTATTTAACTTAGTAGTATTTTAAATTAGAGTATTGTCTAGATATAATATTGCTAGAAAATCATAGATGGCGCAGATAGATACAAGAGCGTTTAGAAAAATTGTTCATTATACACATAGTCGTCTATATCACATACACACATAAGTACTTATATTTAAATTTCAGATGCTAATATCGCTACGCAGCGCAATATTCGTGCCTGGCTGCGATGTCTCTCGTTTTTATATTTCGTCTGATATTTCGGTCTGATGCTTCACGCTCCCCCGCCCCGACTTGTCTTTCTTTTATTTTCTACCCCCAACGGAAAAAAGTTACGCGATAAAAGCTCGAAACTCTTTCGCAGCGGCTGCTAAATTGAAACACCATTGAAATAAAACGACTTCCCTTATTTCTACCGTGATCCTCGAGTGCAGGTATCTCTGTATATTCGCACAGGTGCACTCAGATTTGTAATAAAGATTCCGACTTCTTTACAATTTCGAGGCTGCGTTGCGTACGTGTATATTCGCGTGTTTCAATGGGGAACGAGCGATGAAAAGACGCCTTTGCTTTAAAGGATAGAGCGAAAGATTATCAGAAAGACACACCACTGAAAGAAACAGGAAAAAAAAAGGAACGTAGACTCATTACACGGACGAAATTATTCGATCGTTTTGTTGCGAATATATGACTAGCTGTCGAGTTTAATGCAACGAACGGAAATGTCGATATTTCAGTATTATGATGAACCTCCCAAGCGAAATTTTAAATGCAAATTCAGCAATCTTTTCGCGTTTCGTCATGATTGAAAATTATGGCAGCGAAGTAAACAGTATCGATGAAGTATATAATGTAATTTGCATATATACTGTGAATTTGTATTATTTATGTCATTATCATCATCATTACTATAATATTATAACAATACGTATTTTTTTCTTTTTTGCTGTACATATAACGTATTGTAATTCATTCCATGTTTGTCGAATGTTTTTTTTAATTTTCTGGATATAAAAAGACAAATAGTATTTGTTTTAAAAGAATTTTGCCGTTTACAAAAAATTTAATATTAGGAATATTGATATTTTTTTATTATATCGATATTTTAGTTCATTCGCTTATTGTACATATCCAAAGATTGTACACAAGATTGAGCGGAAGCTCCGAATCATCTTACATGTGTGCCGACCTTTCCGGAAAATTGGAAATAATATACTTTATTGGCAGAGCATATTGCAGGATCAATATATCGTAAGTATGTTCATTCCCATTCTTTCCCTTCTTTTCTTTACTAAGCACGGAAGCAAGGACTCTTCGTGTTGAAGGAACAAAAAGAATGAGTGGAAGGAAAAAGTAAGGGATCACTAGGTGATATAGCGTATCACTAAAGTTGAAAGAATACGACGTTATCGGTAAACATGGCAAAATGGGATGATCGATCTTAGTAATACGTCTCACTGAGTAACATGTTCCATTTGTATTTTTATCAATTATTTTCCGACTAAATATAAGATACTAGACTACTCATTTTATTATAAATATATTACTAAATAATTAATGCAAATATAAATTTATCTTTCTTAAATTGTGAAGAGATAATTTTGATTGATTAAGAAATATTTAGCGATCAAAATAACTTGTAAAATAAAACAAGTTTTTTTTTGTTATTTTACAGTGGGACATATAAAGCATGATCAAGTAATCTTTTTTTCAACGATATTTCTCTTGGCTCTTCATTCCGATCGGATCTCGTTTGACTGTAGAATAAAATTGTTGTAACGTTCATACCCG